CAGACCAGAGACAAGCACTGGAGTGGCCCAGGAAGTGTAAACTGGAGTGGGTCGGAAAGCAGGAATGAGAGCTGACCGAGGATCTGAACAGTAGAAGTGACCACCCTAGGAGGCACCTAGAGGAGGCACCACAAGACAGGATGATCTGGGAGCCACTACAGACTAAGTAACTTGGGGTGGCATGATCAGGGCAGGGTTCTAAGGGCGATTGCTTGTACACTTGAGGGTGCCACCTCAGAGACAAGAGGGCCTCTACCCCAGTGACAGTTTGGTTTCTTTCTGAGCATGTATAGTATCAGGAGAAAGCCATCATCATTGAAAAGAAAATACAACATGACCTGCTGATGACCTTTCAGAAAGCAGGTCCAGATCTCACTCTGTTCTTCAGATCTGATCAAGTTTATTCTCATTGACTTAATACATTAATACTGTACTGAGATCAGTACTGATAAACCCACCACCACCAGACTAAATACTGCTCCATGCAGTGACAGGAGAAGAGATGGAACTGGGTAAATTATGCCGGAACATGCTCTGCACAGAAGACATTACAAACACAGTGTAACTAGTACATACCTTTGTAGGAGTTTTAAGTGAAGCTCATCTTTTGCTGCAGCTAAGAAGGTAACATGCTACTTCCTGTAGGAGGAAGTAGCATGTTAATGAGCCTGGGCGTTTTTATTGAGCATGACAACTTAGTTAAGTGTTGACCACATGTGAATTAAAACACGTTAGTGCTGCCTGTGCTCTCACAATTTCTCATGAAGACGCTGGTGATGAGCTTCATTAAAGGACGGTAAGATAATTTCTTTATATCAAAAGGTTTTCATTCATCTTTAGAATCATAAGCATTTCTAAAAATTCTAAAACTGTTTATTCAGGACTAGAAAATGTTTTTAGATTCAAAGCCATTTAAATCAGGAAGGAGTTTTTCTGGGTTACAAAGTCTGAGCCAATAATTGAATTTTCATACAAAAAATATTTAGGTATGATATTCAAAGCTGCCAGTTAATTCCACAGGCAACTACTTAATTTAAGTGTGTGCATAATATCATTAAAAGTGTAAGTAGAAGAACTGCTACTCAGTGACATCTGGGTTTGTCCAACGCTACTGAGCGCTCCTGAGGGAGTCCAAAATAAATGGGTTCCTTTTGTGCAAAATCATAGTTTGTGAATGCTTAATCATTTTATAAAGAAAATATACAAAAATACATTAAACATCACATAAATATTTCAGTGCAACTATTACATTTTTTTTCCAATCAGCACATAGTATGAGTAATACCAATCAATCAGCGCTGAGTAAGAGTAATGCCTGCCATTTTGTGGGACATCCTTCTACTCCATAGTTAAAGGAAGATAAATGAAGATATATAAAGATTCATTTCAGTTTTAGCTGTATCCGTCCTTTCACCCCTCTTCAATGAGGACTTACTCACAGGCACCCTCTAGTGTTTTGTCATGTTTTTCATATAATGAGAGCAATAGGAAGTGGCCAGGCTCTGAATTCTGAACTAGAATTTCATAGATAAATATATAGCATTAACAAGGAATGTTTTCGGACATACTGTCACATGTTCAAGAAATGTGTGTCATATGTTATTACCAGGTTATGTGTTCTGCAGTATTTATTTATGGGAGTATTCTGGTAAGGACTTTTATTCTGGAGGGCGTGGCTATCCTGCTGACTCTGTGTTTATGCGTTTGTAGAAAATCTTTGATCTTGCCATGGAAGAGATTCAGGAGACCAGGGTTTGCAGAAATGATGGTTTTATTACCATCAGCGCTCAGTATACCTGCCTTAGTCTTACCCCAATCTAAACAGCAGCTCAGACACACAGCTTTTGTGTTATGCCACTGACTCCCCACCCCTAATAGAGTCATACAGAACAGAGTGGAACATTTGAATCCTGTCGTAAATACCTTACTGTGTTCTTCCCCAGAACATCCTCTTTAGGGGGTGTTGTAAGGCCATTTGGTGTAATTGTTCAAACCACGAGAACAGAAATGGAGGTGGCTTCTTAAACCATCCAGGATTAATACTGTTTAACAATGAATAATAATAAAAACATATGAAAATAAACAGAAAACTAGAAAATAAAATAAAAAACAATTTCCAACACGTTAGAACAGGAATAACTGGGAGTTGGAGCCGATCGAGTGCGGACTTTTGTCGCTACCCGAACTATATCCTACATATGAGCCACAGTTGCATGTGTACACTGCTTTACATTGTATGACACTGCCTGATCTGTACCCTGCAAGCCCATCCGTTTAAGACATCATATTAGCTAATTAGTTTGAGGTATTTAATGCTGAAACAACTGTATACAGTGCTCTAAAAAAGTATTTGCCCCCTCCCCAAATTCTTCTATTGTTGCATATTTGTCAAACTTGAATGTTTCAGATCGTCAAACTACTTTACATACTACTAAGACTAAATAAACAAAACATGCTGTTTTTAAATGATGATTTCAGTTCAACCCTGCTGTTCAATCTTACCTGGCCCTATGTGAAAAAGTAATTGCTCCCTTAACTACTAAATCAACCAGTAAACCAAATTAAATTGACTGTTGGGTTCAATTTCAAAGCACACAAAGTCCACCTCTGAATGGAGGAAAAGAAACAAAATTAAGGTTTTGGATTGGCCAAAGTCCTGACTTGAATCCTATTGAGATATTGTGGTCTTAAATGGGCAGTTTATGCTTGAAAATCCTCCAATGTAGCTGAATTAAAACAATTCTGCTAAGAAGAGTCAATCAAAATTCCTCCACAGTGATGTAAGAGAGTCATTGCAACTTATCCTAAATGTTTGACAGTTATTAGGTTTAGGGAAGATTTAGGTTTTGAATACATCTTTATCTTAAGTAAATGGAAAAATCATTCAAAAGCTGCATTTTGTGTTTACACATGTTGCCTTTATCTTACATTAAAATTAGTTGGATGATCTGAAATGATTAAATGTGACAAAGTAGCAAAAACAGAAGAAATCAAGTGAGGGGCAAATACTTTTTCATAGCACTGTACCTACCCCATCCTAATCCCATCCTAAACATAGTTAAACAAGTTAAACTTTACTAACTTGACATGCACTGAAATGTCCAGCTGGAAAAAATGTACATCATAATGACCTTTAAACACATAATGAAAATGCCAAAACATGAAAATCATTGAAAAAAAAAGTACATTTACTGTAACATTTTAATAATAACAATAGATATAATCACCAGGACACACATGTTTAAATGAGTTTAAGATTTTTTGTTGTTGCAGTGATTAAAATCATTACTGTCTATAACAACAGTAACCACTTCATCAAAACTGGTTCTTTTTTGTTACGGGACAGTGGGGAGGCAGACCCAAGTGCAGAAATAAAAACCAGTGAGAAAGAGTGTTAAATAAACTTACTGGGGCAATGGAGTGAGAGTTTGGCACGTTGCTCGAACCGCAGATGTACTGATCGGTGGTCCATGGAGTTACCGCTGCGGCACACAGGTGACAATGGGTAAAACACCTCAAGGAAGGGGAAATGAAAAGGCGGGAAACCGGCAAACAAAAGAAATGCTGAAAGTAGCTTAAACAAAGGCTGAACTAGAAACATGAAATAAAAATAATGAGAAAACGAAATACACTTCCACTGTAATTATGGGGAAGGGAAGGAAGACTTTATGTTTCACTTGTTTGCTCTTGGTGGAGCAAACACCTTTTCTATTGCTTGGAGCAGTTTGTAGCTCAAGCCTTTTTTAGTAATTTTGAGTAATTTTGGGGCAACTACTCTCTTTTTGCTTTTTCCAGCCCTCTTTTTTCTTTTCTTTTCTTTTTGTTTTTGTTTTCTTTTCTTTTTGTTTAAATACCCACCTGGGCTGCGTACCATACCAGTCAGTCCTCAGGTGTGTTGGGTTGGGCATAATCAGCCCGAGGGCTTCTGGGAATTGGAGTTCCCTGAACTTATGGCCCCTTGCTGCCGTCGCACTCTGCTGGCAGCTGGCGGTGCAGGCTGGGCGCCTTGCCGTCGACCTCTGCTGGCAGCTGGTGGTGCAGGCTGGGCACCTTGCTGCCATCGCACACTGCTGGCAGCCGGCGGATTGGACGATGATAAATTGTGGTCATGAAGGGATGCACACAATACTCAAATACACTTTGACATTCAAGCAGTGATTAATTGGGCCCAAAGTGTGCCAAGAAAACATTCCCCCACAAGGAGGGAAGAACACTCTTGAAATCACACATCACAGCTGCTGCTGAGAAACTTTCAGAAAGCAGGTCCAGGTCTCTTTCTAAAATAAACTGGAGCTCAGTTATTGCTACAGAAGGTCAGGTATGTCTGAGACATCCTGTAAGAGGAATTTAGCATTTCATGAATCTGGGTATTTGAGTAGGTAGATCACAGTTAAAGATGCTCATCATGTCCAGTTTAACACTTTAATCTCTGTTCTCACAGTTGGATGTTGGTGATGTGACTAACTTACTGAACAGATTCTGTTTCTTTATTTCTGGAGAGTTTTAGTTTGTTTTAATTAGACAGATTAAAGAGTATTTCTACAGTGTTTGGAAAAACAGTGTTTTAATTGCTGACAGATGTTTGTCAAAGCAATTTCTAACTTGAGTACAATACAGTACACGTTTGACATATAAATACATAAAAATATTTTAAGTACTGCATGAAATTAAATTTGTACATTTCAGATCACAGGCATTAATGTGATGTCATCACCCAGAATGGCTCTTCTTCTGACCTTCCTGCTTTTGATTGCAGGTGAGTCATCAGATACTAATATAACATAATCTACACAAAATATATTGTTTTTTTGCATCAATCTCTGACTTATAAGTCTAAGGTGACTAAAGAACTACACAAGATTCATTACACTGATAAATAGTGCTTCTCTCCAGCCTCCCTCACTCTGCTGAAACACTTTCAGAGCTCTTCTCACTTTGTGGTTTCTCTCAGAATCAGCTCAGTGTTGTAGAGTAGCTGCTGGAGTTAAAGAGGAGAGAAGTGAAGCTGTAAGCTACAGTGACTCTGTCTTGTGGGCTCCAGACTCTGTAATCAGCTCTTTCATGCATCATATGTTTCAGGAGCTTTTGGAACAGAGTGGAGTATGAAGTACAACCAACAGGAAATATGTGCTTTAAAAGGATCCACAGTGTTTATGAATGGAACTTATACTCACCCAGAAGGTCTTACAGTGACAGAGACTTTTTGGACTATAGACCTAGATAATATACCTGATCTGAGTAAAGACCCAGATTATTCAGGCAGAGTTGAGTGTTTAACTGATCAACAGAAACACTTCTCCCTCAAACTGAGTGATGTAATGAAGAAGGACGAACATCAGTACTACTTCAGAATCAGAACAAATGTGGATAAAGAAAGATGGCTGGGTAAACCTGGAGTTCAGCTCAGAGTTACAGGTGAGTTAAGTCATCAGGCTTTAGCTTCAGAGCAATGTTCCTTATCAATAAAGACTCTGACTCTTGTTGTTTTATTAAATCAGTCATTGTATTACAGTAATTTTCATTACACACACAGTTCATTTGGTAACACTTTCTATGAATGTCACCTTTGTAAGCATCTATACACACATTTATAACATGTTATAATGCATTCGTAAGGCATTATAAACATGGCTATAAACATTTATAAAAATGCATTACACGTTATAGCCATGCTTATTATGCATTATGAATTGTTAACATAATACATTATAAGTACTGTTCATAACAAATTATAAGAGCTCATAAGTTGTATTTGTCCACTCTAAGTAAAGTGAAGCGTATTGTACTAAAGCCTCCTCCAGTGTTCAGAGTGAGGCTACAAGTTGAAGTATTTACTGAAGGATTTACTGAAACACTAAAACATACATAATAAAGCACATTACAGGCTTCAAATGTCAGAGTTTAAACTAGTGCTGCCATCAGTGCTTTACCCAATGTGGGAAAGTCAATGTACACCACCGTTAGCTTGGTATTTGTCTTTACTTTGCAGTCTCCAAGCTGGGACTGACTTCTTTGGCACTGACAGTATAACTTGTTATCAACACTACTCGTACTGCATTACATTAACAATTCATAATGTATAATAAACATGGCTATAAAGTGTAATCCAGTGTAATTCATTTTTATGTTTATAATCATGTTTATAATGTCGTATGAAGGCATTATAACGTTATAAATGTGTTTATAGATGCTTACAAACATGACATTCATAGAAAGTGTTACCGTTCATTTTCATTTCAATCCTGATTTATTCCTGCACTGTTTTCTCTGCATCATTTACATACTAATTTTGTTTTGGGCCCTATTCATACATTCAGGGTCGGTTGATCGGTTATTATTATGCGATTGATTCTTCTCTAGGCAATATTTGTCTTGTTACTAATAAGAGAGAATATTATTAATTAATGTATATGTTATCTAGTAAAAAAAAAAAATGGACCCACCTCAATATGTACAATAAAATTGGTGTAGGACTGAAATAGACAATGAAGACCATTTGCAACAATTTCACACATTTTAATCCTTTATTTCTCAGTGTATAGTGATATTAAAAAAGAACTTGAAAATCTAAGCTTTTGTAAATGGACAACCTGATTGGATGTTTCTCCTTTTAGACCTCTATGTGGAAACACCTGCAGAAGCACTCAAATGGTTCAGAGCATAAATGTGCATGACTAACTGCAGGGTTTCTTTCTGACCTGATGTTTATCTCATTGTCTTAGAGCTCCATGTGCAAAGTCCTTCTGAAGTGACAGAGGGACAAACAGCAGATCTGACATGTAAAACCACCTGCAGACTGACTGACCCAACATTCATCTGGTACAAAAATGGACATCCTTTAACCACAAAGACCATCAAGAACAACCAGCTCCACCTGCAGACAGTCAGCAGTGAGGATGCAGGCAGTTATAGCTGTGCTGTAAGAGGATATCAACACCTCCACTCTACTGCTCACAACCTCAGAGTCAGATGTGAGTGTAGATCATATTCTTCATATTCTTCATGCCACAGATGTTTAGAAACGTATGAGCCAAGATGCATCATGTGAGTCTGAGTTGAGTCTTGAGCCTTTAGAAAAGAATTAAAATCTTGTTATTAGCTGCACTTTTCAGGATTGATACAGCTTTAAAAATTGAGTTTTTCATCATAGAAAAATCTTCAGTCAGAAGAGCAGAAATTAAAGCACTACACACAATAAATACAGTGCTGAAAATAAAGATCATAAAACAGTTTAAATGGTTGATTAGGCTGTATTTTGTAAGTCTGCTTGCTGGCTTGCTTACTAGCTAATCCTGCTGAAAAATTGAGTAAATTTTAAAGGAATGTGATCCATAATATACTAAAATTTTGCTGACTAAAGCTAAACTAGCTGTTGCCAGATTGGTTTTACATTTGAACGCTGCATTTGCTGCATGTAGAGCTTCATTCAGTCCTTCTGACTGAAGGTTTTGCTATAATGAAAGTTAACTCTGAAACTGTGCTGAACCTGATGCTGCTGTGAGCTGCAAACTAATTACTGCTGTTTACTTTTTCTGATTTTTGTCTCTGGGCTGTAGTCACAACCACTTAAGGTCACTTATCAACAAACAAACAAATAAAAAAGACAAAATTAAGCACGTAAGTTTGGAACCAAAAATTTTATTTGTTTTTTGCATTAAAGATCAGGGTTTCTAGTTCAATTAGTTTTGTTCATCCTCTCTTTTTCTGGCTGTAATTTGACAAATTTTAAGTTGGGAGTCTGAGGTGAGTCGCAAGTCAGTCCAGTGTGTTCGCCAGTTAAGCATGTGTCCAGGTCACGAGTCAGTATGAGTCTGAAACGGGAGTCAGTTAAGTTTGCGCCTGGTTCAAGTCATGAGTCAGACTTATAACTAGTTGCGATTATAACAGTGCGATCACCTTGGTGTAAATTCATTAAGAATTCTCAAGTCACTTTGCCCTCATAGGGATGATCAAACACCAGACGAAACTCTTTCATAAGTCTGACTGAGAGTCAATTATATGCTTGTTTGAGTGAAGTCAGCTAAGCGCATGTGTGAATCGAGTCATGAGTGAGTCAAGTTCCATCTCTGCCTTATGCTGTAAAGAGCAAATAGGATAATGAATGTCTATGTAACTTACAATCAATGTGATTTAAAAAAAAATGTCTCTATTTTTAGATCCTCCAAAGAATGTCTCAGTGTCCATCAGTCCCTCTGGTGAAATAGTGGAGGGAAGTTCAGTGACTCTGACCTGCAGCAGTGATGGATACCCACCTCTGAAGAACTACACCTGGTTTAAGGGATCAACATCAGTAGGAGAAGGAAAAACCTACAGCATTCCCAACATCACATCTGAAGACAGTGGAGAATACACATGCCAGAGTCGGAATGATCATGGAGAGAGAAACTCCACTGCTGTGCAGATTAATGTTCTGTGTATGTTGATGATGATTTGTAAGGTTCCATTAAGTGATTTTCTGACACTCACTCTCCTCAAAGATCTTTTTTGTTGCCTGCTGTAGATCCTCCAAAGAATGTTTCAGTGTCCATCAGTTCTTCTGGAGATGCACTGGTGGGCTTTTCAGTGACTCTGACCTGCAGCAGTGATGCAAACCCACCTGTGAAGAACTACACCTGGTTTAAAGAACGGGAAACCTCAGCTGTAGGATCTGGACACAGTTACAGTCCTCTACAGAGTGGATCTTACTGCTGTGAGGCTCAGAATCAACATGGATATCAGAGATCAGATCTGGTGCCAGTTGTTTTACATGGTGAGTTACACGACTTCATGAATTTGTATTCGAATATGTTCCAGTTTCTGTATCACACGATTAATATTTATTTATTGAAGTCATTCATTCATTGTGCTTTACTTTTTGTGCAGTTTCTAATTATGTTTTGAGTTTTTAGAGTATTGTTGTTCTCAGCAGGTTACTCAGTAATTCTGTATGGAGTTGCTGGAGTTGGACTTTGTGGGGTTGCAGTTTTTCTCACTGTGTTTTTCTGGATGAGGTGAGAAAATTATGTAGAGAAAATTAAGTAAAATATAGTGGATAATATATCACTAATTGATTTTTTTGATTGAAATAAAAATAATCTCATTATATTATAAATTATTAATATTAAAGCACTAAATAATCTTCACTATTTTATGGAGCCTCTGAAAGAACTTCTTTTTTGGTAATAATCTGGTGCTCATCTCTAAGCAGCTGGTGCTCACCAGATTCTTACCTTAAAGGAATTAACCACATCCTTTCAGAATCTCCATATTATTTAAAAAAAAATATATATATATATATATATTGATTATTTATTTTTTTTGTGCAGGAAGAAGAGGCAGAGCAGAAATATGGATGAACCAGACCATGTGGTGAGTTCTTACAGTGTTCTAGATATCAGTCAGTCAGCAGTTGGTCCTTTAACCCTCCTGGTTCCCTTGGATAAACAGTGACCTATTTCTGACCAGTTCTTCAACTCTCTGTTCTGCAGAACACAGCCTTCAGGGTCAAGCCTCCTGATGATGACTCTTGCAGCATTGATGTCTACGAGAATATAACAGTGAGTCAAAAACTTTTACATTGTTATTACACTACACACCAGCTACATTTTAGAGTATGAAGGACATGAAGATTTCAGTCTTTTGAGATTAAGTGAATTTTATTTTGTTTTTGGTTTATCTATGTGACAGTCTTTTACTGGCCACTGGAAATATAGATATTTGTAATATATATTCTACACGTTAGTATACATAATATACAGTATTATAACTTCTAAGACTATACTAGCTATAATTTTGTGAGAGAGAGTGCTGTACTGTGAGATGTTGGTTATATGACGAATCTTCGACTTTGACCATTTTATTGAGGTTATACTAGTTTTATGACTTTTATCAATAGATTTTTATTAATGGATTTTTTAATGTTTTCATAGAACATTATTTTACACTGCAAGCAAACGGCTTCAGATAATTAGTTACATATTTTACATGTGTAACAGATTTTAAAGCAATATGAGAAACTCAAACATGGTACCACTGACTAAAACCTTCCAGCAGGCTAACCATGTCCTTATAAACATTAGAGGAAAGATCATACAGCTCACTGTTCTCCATCTCATGGATGGATGGATAGATAGATAGATAGATAGATAGATAGATAGATAGATAGATAGATAAATAGATAGATAGCTCTATTGATCTGCCAGTATCAGCCACACAAACACAGGGCCAGTAATAATAATAAGGGTGATACAATATAAAAAGAAGAATATATACAAAAATTCTATGCATAGGCTTATATACAACTAGAAATATGAAATGAAACTAACCTTTTAGCCAACTGTGTCTGAAAACATCGGAATTAGACCTCCGCATTTATCCCATCCGTGCAGTGAAACACAACATACACACTAGTGAACACACACACACTAGGGGGCAGTGAGCACACTTGCCCAGAGCGGTGGGCAGCCCTATCCATGGCGCCCTTGAGCAAATGGGGGTTAGGTGCCTTGCTCAAGGGCACTTCAGTCACATACTGTCAGCCGATGGGGATCAAACGGGCGACCTTCCGGTCACAAGGCTGGTTCCCTAACCTCCAGCCCACGACTGCCCCAATATACAATCCAAATATACAATCATATGCATTAATATCTATAACCTGAGATGGAAAAGGCAGTGCAATAATGAATGTACAAGGAGGCGCAGGTAACAGCATATAATGACAATACTGAATAAATGTGTGCCGATATTAATACTGAAATAAAGTGTCCAGGTGTGGAGTGTCCAGATGTGCAAGGTGTTCGATAGGGGCTACAGAAAGTGCAATATGTACAGTAAGGTGTCCAAATGTGCAGATGGATAAAATAAACCTATGGTTTAGCATGAGATTCAGATTCAGTCCTCATCTCTCCTCATCCCTCTTCCCTCTTCTCTTCTGGTCCCACTGGCAAGAGTTGAAGAGCCTGATGGCTCTGGGGACAAAGGATCTCCTGAATCTGTTGGTTGAGCAGCTCTGTGACAGCAACCTGACACTAAACATGCTCCTCCTGTCCATGATGATGGTGTGCAGTGGGTGACCATCATCCTCCATAATGGAGAGAAGTTTGTGCAGAGTCCTTCTCTCAGACACCTTAACCATGGAGTCCAGTTCAGCACCGACCACTGACCCCACTCGCCTGACCAGCTTGTCCAGTCACATCTTGCATAAAAAAGACAGCTGGCAACCATGGTCTGATAGAACATCTGCAGGAGCTTCTTACAAATGTTAAACGACCCCAGCCTCCTCAGGAAATAAAGCCGACTTTGCCCCTTTCTGTACAGGATGTCTGTGTTGGCTGACCAGTCCAACGTATCATCCAGTTGAAGTGTATCTCAGACTGCAGATACAGTCCAGTAGCAGGTTGTTTCTAAGGCACCACTCCACAAAGTCCTTCACCAGGTACCTGAATGCCCTCCCCTTACACAAGCCACAATGGCAGTGTCATCCAAAAATTCCTGCATGTGGCACGTCTCAGAGTTGTACTAAAAGTCTGAGGTGCACAGTGTAAAGAGAATAGGGGAAAGTGCAGTCCCTTGTGGTGCTCCTGTGCTGCTGACTACAGGCTCTGATGTACTGCCCATCAGCCTGACATACTGAGTTGTGCAGACAGCTGTGTTGTCTGTGCCGTCAGTCTGTGGGAGGGGTGCATGAATATCAGTAGAAGAAGATGAGGTGTTGATATCCAGGCAGGTTGAGACTGAAGACTGAAGGATTAGTTTCTCTTCATCAGTTTTTTTGGCAAATTTATCTGTGTTTTGACAAAAGACCACAGACTTTACTGCAGTATATAAGGTGGAACATCACTGTAATGTAAGCTGTTGCCCTTCGCAAAAAAAAAAAAAAAAATTGTATCTGATCTGTTCTCTGACTCTCTGTTCTACAGAGAGCAGACCTCAGAGCCCCGCCTCCTGATGACGACTCATCCAGTGCTCAAGACTACGAGAATATGACAGTGAGTTCCAGATATTAGACTGTCATTACAAAACAATCCAACTACATTGTAGAGAATGCAGAAAGCAAGTAATGACACAGATCTCACTCATTTAAGATGAAGTGAATTATTTATCTACTCTTCATTCTTTCACTGGTCCATAAACATGATAAGCATTCATTTCATTCTTGATATTTATAAATAGACAACTATGGTACACACACACAAACAAAAATGGATTTTATTCCGTGAAGAAACAAAACTCTGATCTAGCACTAATGGATATAAACACTACTGAATGAAGAAACATGATACAAAATATCCAGGATGTTTACACTGGAAACATATTCATCAGACAAAACACACAAACTATGAACTTATCAGCCAACAGCTTAAGAAAACAAGATTTATATTTTATATGTAATTTACACATTTTAAATCAATATCAGGAACTCACAGTAGATTAAATCATGTTATTACTGACTAAAACTTCCAGCAGGCTAACAATCTATCTGCGTTTTGATTAAAGGCAGCAGACTTTACTGCAGTATTTAAGGTGGAACATCAGTGCAGTGCAAGTCCTGGTGTCCTGAGCTGAAATATGACCCATATTGACCTGTTCTCTAACTCTCTGTTCTCAGGACACAGGTCTCAATGCTCCGCCTCCTGATGATGACTCATCCAGTACTGATGACTATGTGAATATAATAGACGACTATGAGAATATAACAGTGAGTCCCAAACATCAATGTCTTATTACACTATAATTACGCCACAATCCATCTACATCCTTAGAGAAAGGAGAAACAAGTGATGATACAGATTTTAGTACTTTAAGATAAAGTGGATGATTTATCTACTCACCATTCTTTGTTGGTCACTGGTGATAATTAAAAGAGGCATATTTATAACATTAGTTTTACATTAGTATAACTGTACAGTCTATTAGTCAATACCTTCCCAAACTGCTCCAGCTTTCTATCATATAACCTGTAAACATTCACATCACATACTTGAAAAGGTGCCTGAAAATCTTTACTTAGTGTTTTAGAAACTAAATACAGTCTGGTTAAGCGTGTGCAAAGCATCATGGGAACAAAAGCATGCTCTGACACCACAATATTTGCTGGCATAAAAAAAAAGTATCCATGAAAAGAGTTTTTGAAATCTTAACAGGAAGTTCAGAATTTTATCCACCTTTTGCTTTAATGACAGTGAGCACTCGAGCTGACAATGAAGTCCACAGGTTTGTGCAAAAGCCTCTGATGAGCAGATCAAATTGACCCAAGTGTGGTCCAAGCATGAACTTTAATGTTTAAGAGTCCTAAATATGTTCTTTATTTGTCTTTACTTTTATTTATTTCAATCATTTCAAACTACTAAAACTTCCTGTTTATTTTCAGGCTTAAAATGAGAAACATCCCAGATTTTCCATGTGGTCTCAGACTTTTGGACCCCAACAGCACAAGATTCTCTTCTTTTAAGATGGAACTTACATCATACCCTTTGCTCTGTAATATCACTCATTAACACATCATCAGACTGTATCCATTCCTTCCACATATTCTACATTTAAGCTTGTAACCTGTAATTTTACTGTTCTTCACAGTTTTATTCACAGTTCTTCGTTTTGTCTTATTTTATCATTTTACAGTTGTAATAGGATTTTGGGTCATAAATGAATAAAACATACATTTAATGTAAACTTCTTCTTATTGATAGTATTATTTTTTATTAGTATTTCTATGACATATATATACATATACATTGTGTTTTTACTTCATGACATTGTTTTATTTTATCATTTTACGGTTATAATATGATTTTGGGTCATAAATGAATAATGTAATGTAAACTTTTTCTTATTGATAGTATTATTATTTTTTTTAGTAGTATTTCTATGACATATATATACATATACATTGTGTTTTTACTTCATGACATTGTTTTATTTTATCATTTTACAGTTATAATATGATTTTGGGTCATAAATGAATAAAACATATACATTTAATGTAAACTTTTTCTTATTGATATTGTTATTTTTAT